CATGTTGCTCATGTCTATCACTGCTGCAGTATTCCAAGAGCCGATCGACTGGTTGAAGGCAGAGGCTCCCTTGAACATGTGACTCATGTTTGCCACCTTCGAAGTATTCCAAGAGCCGATGGGCTGGTTGAACGCAGAGGCTCCGTCAAACATGTGACTCATGTCTGCTACTGTCGAAGTATTCCAAGAGCCGATCGGCTGGTTGAAATGTGCGGCATTGGCAAAAATGTAGCTCATGTCCTTCACCGCAGAAGTATTCCAAGCTCCTATGGGTTCATTGAACTCGTAGGCGACCCCAGCCAACAATCGGGTCATGTTCGTCACCTTGGACACGTCCCATTGCGCAATGTGCCCGTAGGTGGACCTCAAACGAGCCCGGGTCGTGTCCTTAGCTGTGTGGAAGCTAAGTTTGACATCTCTTTGGTCATGTTATGCCGGTTGGGTGCACTAAGTCTTTGGCCAAGTTTCTCCCCCCCAACTCCAGTCAAGGACCGCGGCCTGCAGCTCACTTCGGTTTTGGAAGGCACGAAGGGCATGGCATGGCGGCGGCAGCAGCAGCAGCAAGCATAGAGGCCCTCGCAACGACATGGCAAGTCCGCCTTGGAAAACTGAAGCAACCCGATGTAATAGTAGCCAATTGCTGGTTCACGTCCGACTGCTGGAATGCCTCTACATATGTATATTATATATTTAATTGATTTATCTATTCATTATGTATCTATTTTTTATTATTTTAAATATCATTATCCTTTTTGGCTCTGTCTGGGACACGGCTGAGATATGCTTTGGTGAGCGAGCGACCTACAAGTAGAGAATCGCCACCCTGGGACGAGCCATTTCTGAGCCACCAAGAGAGGCCAGTGACCTTCGACCCGGAAAACCTGGCGTACTTGATCGTCGAATTACACCGTTGGAACCGGAGTTGGCGTCAAACACCTCCGATCCGACCCCGCCTGACTCCAAAAGCAGCTGGCAGCCTGGCGGGGCCCGTGCGGGTCAGGGCGGACAGGACAGAGTCGCGGCGTCCCCGACCGCCCAACATGGCGGGCGAAGAGAAACCCCGGCGGAGTGGAGCATGGCGCAGCGGTGTCCGCCGACCAGCGTGGACTGAAGGAGGCCTTTGTTTGAAGCAAAGGAGTCGGGCAGGTCACGGCCTTCGGTGATGACCATTTCTTCCCCCCAAAGCGGGCCAAGAACCTACTGCAACTCTTTTGGAAACGGTTCAGCCATGGACATTCGATGGATGTCAGTGCCCGCGCAGGTAAACTTCCGAAACTTCAGAAACTCTGCCTTGTTCAGGGCAAAACTTGGGGCACCAACCCTCCCGAAAAAGACCGGCCGTGACCGTTTGAACTGGACCGCCTTCAAGACCACCCGGGGACGTTCGGATGGGCCAACAACCTTTGGGGCGCCCGGCAGGACAACCTCCCCGCGCCCGCCGCCAGCGCCAGGGGCGTGAAGCCCCCACCTCGGCTCTGCCGCAGCGGGAGCCGATCCACGCAGCGAGGAACACGGCGTTTCTTCGGCAAGACACCGGCGATGCGGGCGCGCGCGCGCGCTTTCCTCCGAGGAAAGCTGCCAAGATCTGAAAGCTACCTATAAGCTGCCCACGCGGCCAAGAATTGCAAACAGTTGCCTGAAGAAGGTGGCAAAATCAGCAAGGCTTAGCACCCACATTGTCCCAACTTCCCACCTGCGCACGCACGAAAACCTCACCCAGGCACGCATCTGCAATTCTGGGTTGGCTTGTGCTTTGAGCAGTGGCCGGATCAGCTCCTTCGGCTGAATGACGCATGTCCGGCCGTCCCAGAAACTATGGCTTGGCCAGCATTTCCGGTGTGGAGCCCAAAAGCCTTGACACCACAACTAATATAGAAAGTGACCAGTGCATGCAAAGTACATCTTGGTCAAAATGGCCACGGCTGTTTCGTGACTGTGTTCTTCTTGTGGTGCAATGCACATGGCCATGGCTTTGGTGGACTTTTTTCGTGTCAGGCGCAAGGGGGCTCTCTTGTTCGACATGTTTGGTGGTCTCAACTTTCCAAGGAAACTACAAAGCCCTAGGGATCCAGTCGAACCTTCTCAGGTTCGGTGAGGACGGAGACACTGTTATGTAGGTTTGGAGGGTCCAAGTACCTTCTGAGAAGGTACTTGGATCCCTAGGGAAGGATGGGAGCATTGCACTTGGATTTGTACATGTTCGTAGAAGACGGCTTGGTGGTGGTCTCTGATGTACTCAGATTTCGTGGCAGGCGCAGTGAATCGTGAATTTCGACGTGCCAGTCATTTTTTGGTTTGTGGTTTGAAACGGCAACCTGGCTCGGGCCAGACACCAACAAAGCCATCTGTCTGGACCTGGTGGGGTTGACCCAGGCAAGTGAGGAGCACGGTAGGCACGGTAGTGACTATATAATTATAAGATATTATAAGTGGTTGCTCAGTCTTGCGCAGCCTCGGTGGTCCAGGATGATGGTTTTGCAAAGGCGTTGACGCATCTCCGCCCACTGCTTGAATCTGACAACATCAAGTCTCATGGGTACCATCCCATGCGGTTGATTACACCACACCTGCTCCGGAAGCACCGCCTGCACTCCCACACCACATGGTGGGCGTGTGGGCACACATGTTGCTTTCGCATGTTTACGGTGATGATTCCCGATCTCATGAGCATCCGGCATGATCAGAGTGCTTTCATGAATCCAATCTAAACATTCTAAACAATTGTTGCGGTCCGACTTCCAAGGGTGATGTGTTTTTTCAAACTACGCGTGTCTGTTTTGCAGTGTGCCAAACAGACACTCCCCAAAGAAAGTTGCATCAAGCATACTCTCTACGAAGAACCATGCACCAGCAGTCACAAAGGGGTGCTTAATGGAGGTTAGGGGTGCCCTTAATCCACTCACTTGGGGACCAAACACCACCCCTTTGTGACTCCTGGTGGACATGCTCCAAACCGGTGTCATGCTGCCATCCCTTCATGCTGCGCCCCCAACCGCGACCATCGACTCACGCACCGCGCATCGACTCCTTATGGCCCTGGTGAACGGCCACATGCAAGGCGCTGGCCTGTCATCGGTGTCCACCGGTCCCGGGTCGCCGTAGACCGTTCGAGAGAGACGGTGGGTGGTTTTTCCCGAAAACCCTGAAGAGGGCCTGGGGGGATGCGGACGTGACCCTCCCAGCTGGGTTCCGAATGAATCAAGAGCATCCATCTGTCATATCCCTAGGGCTCCAACCATCTCCTCAGAAGGTGGTTAGACCCCCCAAACCCACCCCAACCATCTTCTCAGGAGGTGGTTGGAGCCCTAGGGTATCCATCTGTCATATCAATTGTAGTATCCACACTGAGAACGTCTAGTGAAGTGACTGCCACGAAAGATCACCCAACCGTCCCCCCCAAACGACTGGATTCGCCCAACTCCACCGGACGAACGCACGGTCGGCGGACGGGAGTGCTGCCGTTTCGGTGGAGGATACGATGTGACGCCCAGTTTTTCGTGGTGAATCGCCTGCGATACTTGAGTGGGAGTCAGTAAGCCGCTAAGCTCCGTGAGAGGGCGAAACCACGGCCATCCTTGCAATAGATCCAAAACGGTGTCGCACCGTAGGAGCCCCCCCATCCACCGCACGGTTCACGTCCGGGCCGAAGCCGAAGGCATCCGGCGGGCGGTCGGGTTCGGGCGCACCCCATCCGCGGACGCGGTCGCGTTGACGGGCGCTCCGAAGGCGAGCCTCAGTGAGGCGAAACGTGATGGTATACCAGGACCCTTGCCGGGTGTCTATCAATTAGCCTCTCAAGAACGGTCATTCAGGACCCAAAGACCACCCGGGTCTGGGCTCAGGTGTGCAGTGGTACCGATAGTAATAGGCTGCTCCACCTCTCCAGGTGTGATAGACGATGTTCCGAAGGAGGGCCGAACGAGGAGTCAGTCCACTCCTCCGGTTCGGTCCCACGTCCTCGGGCGTCCTCGGGCTCTGAGCCCCTCCGCTTCGCCGCAGGTGCCATGCCCCAACCACCAGTGAGACAAACACAGGAACACTCCCTCAAACCAAGCAGTCTAGTACAAGCGCCACATCTTCCCAAAATTGGTGTTGGATACAGATCTGTATCTGCGTGCCCATTCTTGAGGCCTGGTCTGTATATGCCTGTATGCGACCAGCACATCGCAGAGTCTCCCTGCTTCTGTTCTCTTTGCTTCCTCTAAACGACACGTGTTTCCCCATAGAAGTCTGATCGCCCTCAACGCTCCTCAAGTGTACTGAGTGACCTCTTCGCTTTGAAGATCCTTTGAGGTTAACCTCCTCGCAACCTCCTCGCAACCTGGTGACTCAAGGGCATTTTGGGATCCTTGAAGGATGTTGCTTGGCTTCTCATGCTTCTCTTGCGAAAGATTTGAGCGGCCCAACGGTTCTTGGGGGTCCAGCGGCGCGCCGCTTCGGGGGGCCACCGACCCATCGCCGTCGCTATCACGTCGAGGAGCAAGGCTTCAGCCGCTCCCAGGGCGCCATGGCGCGCCGCGTCGTGCAACGGAGCCTCGGAGCGAGTGCGGACGGGTGGCGCACGGGACGGGGCGAGCCTCGGGTGCTGACTCGCAGTCGTCATGAGATGTCTGATTTCGACCCCGAAATCGGTGGGTTTTTCTGTAGTGCTTTTCGGTTGGTTTGTTGAAGAAACCCCCCAATTGAATCCAATTGAATTGGAAATCATCTTCATATGGACTTAGGGCTTATTAATCAAGAGTCTACATAGGCCTTTGATTCATATGGTTCATCAACCAATCTCCATTGAGCGCCCCGGGCCACGGTCCCCGCCGCCGTCGCTGGCGAAGCCCGTGCTTCGAGCAGGAGCCGGACCGGCTCTGGGCTGGACCTGGGCGAGAAGCACGACCCGAGCAGCTCGGTTTGGAACGACCCAAGTCGCCGAGCAGCTCGGTTTGGAACGACCCGAGCATTGGACTCTTGGTGGTCAACGGTGTCCAAAACGATACAATGGTCAGAAATCCTTCTGAGAAGATGGCGCTATGATTGCGGCAAGTCGCGACTACGTATAGTGTGGCTCTTGGGAACGCTTAGCAGGAACCATCAGGAACCCATGATGGCAAGCTGGAGCCAACGAAAACAGCGCGGCATATGGTACCCTAGAAGTCCAGTTCGACTATCTTTTGACCGACTGAAGTAAAGGAAATTCCTTTTTGGGTCACCTAGTCAGACCATTCTTTGTATAGTCTTTGACTCCCAGGGTGGTAGGAAGACCAATGTCTTTTGGTCTATAGGCATGTCTATGCCCTTGCAGAAAACGCACATGTCAATGCACACCCATCTCTTCCAGTTCCACCGGTCGTGGCAACACCCACACCACCCAAACGCTTCCCTTCCTCCAAGCGGCGCTCCGATCGCCGCCAGCAGTGGCGACTTCGCCGCGTTCGACGCGCTCGTCACCTGGGCCTGGGCCTCGAGGAGTGCCTGCAGCGACCGTCCCGCGCGCGGGGCGCGGTCCGGGAGAGCCCCCAGGTGGCTCCAGTAGCGCGCGAAGCGCGCGAAGCGAGAGGATTGGGTTCCGGGGGTGTTCTGTCAGGAACGATGCAAAGCTTGGACTTCAGGATGGCGTGGTTCGTGTGCTGTTGGGAGGTTTCAGGCTGTCAGGTCCATGTGGGTCCAGTCTTTCAGGACTGTTCCTCGAAGAAGAAGTGTCCAGATGTCTGATGCACCGTCCCAACCGCCCCCAAAACACCTGACCTCCGTCGCGCGCGGATCCCGCCCGCCGATCCCACCGACACCCCGTCGCGAACACCGCGCATGCTCGCGGCTCTCCATGGGGGCCTTCATGCACTCGAGGTGACCCTGGCGGGAGGCCAGGAGCAAAGGGCTGCTGCCGGTCTTCAGCGTCGCAGCCTCGCGATGTCGTGAGGCGTTCAGCGTTCGTGCCGCAAGGGCACGGAGGAACACCACGGAACGGAGAGAGGGGGCGTCGGATTGACGCACACCGAAGGTCGAAAAGGCGATTCTGCAAGAGTCTGCAGAAGGCAAAGCACTCTTCTCCAACAGGTTCAAGTGGTCTCTTCTCCAACACGTTTTAGAGATCGAAGATGGTCGAAGTGTGTTGATATGATCTTCATCGCCGCTGGTGCTCGGGGGGCGAAAACCCTCTCCTCAGGTCTCCCCAGCTCGGTCTCACCCAGCTCGGCCTCCACATCTGCGCGATGCTCCAGCAACACGTTCACCTCACTCCCGGGAGTCTCCGATCGCTCCCATGGTCTCGGATCCTCCGGACGGACCGGACCGCCGTGTCCCCAGGGGTCGCCTCCGCGGCGCAGGCTGCGCCGTGGCCCGACGCGAGCGAGCTCCTCGCTGGGCCTCCGGGCCAGCGCCACGTTCCCAGCCTCGGCAGCCTCGGTCACAGCTGCCAAGGAGGGCCGCGGTGCGCGGCCACTGGGTGAAGGGAGGAAAATCCGTTGGAGCGGGATTTAGAGGGTGAGACTTCAAGCAGCCAAAATCCCATTTGGCCTCTTGGTTTGGTCGCGGTCTACTTCTTGATCCCTCAGGAAGCTCATGTCGGTAAACAGGAAGTCTCCCAAATGCACCTGTCGGTTCCACCTGGTCGAACAAAAATCTCACAAGGCATGCCATAGGTGAGAGGGGGACATAGATGAAACATGTATGCAACACGGACTCAGTGACTTGGTGAGGGGAAATGGCCATGTGTATCTGTATAATATTATATATATATATATAACCTGCATTAACCTGGATCTTCCAACTATGACAAATTTCAGCTTTTTGGCTGATGATCTTTATGGATGCAAATGATGAAAACGCAGAAAATTGTCGCAGTTGGAAGATCCAGGTACTTATATGCATGTTTTATGTGATTCTGATATAAATGGCGTGGTCAAAAGATACCTTGTATAATGCATACATCCTCCACATTCGAGCAGCTGCTGTGATTTCATGTGCTCTTTCCAGCTCACACCCCCAAAAGGCCCGAAAGCCACTTGGTGGAGCTGGTCTGGTGCCATCGACTCTACCACTCCTGGGCTGCCCGGCCACATGCAGCGGCCGTCGCGAGCGGCCCGCCACGCCGTTGGGGCTGGCCCGGGCCGTCAGAAGCCGCCGCACCACGGGCAGATGCCCCGGGCGGCAGGCCTCGGGTGCCGAGGTCGCGCTGGAGCCCGAGGTCGTGTGTGCACATGGATGGCTTCCAAACACACGTGCGATGAACGGGGAAGGGGAGGGAAGGGATGGGGCGAGGTGTTGATCCCGGAGCCAACCAAGTGTCCACCTCTGCCGTCGGGGCCGCCGTCGGTCATTCTTGGCAGGCAAGCCACTTCAACTCAGGCGCCATACCGTGGAGAATGTGAATGCAGTCTCGAAGACATTCAAGAAAACTCCTACCGACCCGAAAATTAGACGATGCAGATGTGGATCTCACTCGTTACCTCGAGGTAGGCGGCCGCAGGCCTTCTAACCAACACGTCGCTCACCGGCCAGACACGCGTCTCCCTTAATCGCTCGCGCGGGCTGAGGCATCAACCAGCATCAAAGCCGTTGCCCCATCCTCCTGACCCACAACCAGAACAGCACCAAAGCAATCAGAACATGCCAGAACCAGAGTTTCACCTTCAACAGTATCAAGATGGGACTCAGACTTACAGGGCTACACCAATTGTACAATGCCCAATCCTCCCGATTCGCGCTGGCTCGAAACCCCTCCGCCCCATCCCAAACCCGCGGCTCTCACTTCGTGCGTCGCACATACCGGACCCGCTCCCCCCCCGGCGGCATGGCACCTGCATGGTGTCCGGAGCTGCGCTGTGCTCGAGCAACAGCCGCACCGCCGGTTCACGGCCACCAGCGGCGGCCGCCCGGAGCCCGGCGTCTAAGGAGGCCTCGCAAACCACGGCGGGGGGCCCCTGAACGGGCGGTGCGTTGGTTCCGAGGGGTGGGCTGAGCCTGGAACGTCGTCCAGAAATCCTCCCCAAAAGTCATGCGTGGGGATTTCGGGGTGGAGATCAAAGGGGTGAGTGGGGGAGGCTTGTTCAACTTTGGGGAGAACCTTTTGTCCACCGATGTTATTTTGGGGGTTGATGTGCACTTGGGAGCGGCGTTATTCCCCTTGTCAAACTGGCCCCCACGTCATGTCGTGGCTTTCCGGTGTTGCAGTCTTGCGGCCATTTCCGTGCTATAGATCTCCTTCCTCTCAGGGATCCCACACTCCCAGAACCCCCAGGTTCTTCGCCAAAAGATCTTCGCCCGAACGCCCCGCGTGAAGCACGTGGATGTGGAGCTTCGTGGCCTGCTGCGGCGGGTCGAGATTGCCCGTCTGAAGCAGCAAAGGCAGCAGCAGCAGGGAGAGCACGTTCAATTCTTCCAGAGGCCTCGACTTCAGAAGGGGAGAAGATCAGGACGAGCCGGCCAACAACCAGCAAAAAGAAGGACACTCCTGATCCATCAAACCATCCATGTGTTGGGATTTGGAGTCCTCACTGTCCTTCGCTCTGCCTGTTCCTCACTCCCGAGCTTCCCCGCACGCCCCGCAAGGCGACGGCCGCCGCGGAGCGGTGGCCGTTGAGGAGGGCGTGATCCTTAGAGTGGGAGATCAGCCCCCGGTGAGGCCGGGATCCTCGCAGCACGGAGGACCCGGGTGTCCATGAAAATTGCCCCTTAGATTCTTAGATGCCCAGGGGGGCCCACGAACCACCCCAACTGGGGGTCCAGGTTCATTGCCCTCTCCAGAGTGGACTAACCCCCCCCCAAAAAAAAAGATAGAAGACGCCCTCTTGTGAGGGGGTCTTGGAGCTCCAATCACTCTGCAGGCGTTGTTTGGAGCTGCCGGCTGAGCTTCTCCAAAAAGGAAAACAATGGATCACACGAACGGATGTTTGCTGGTGGAAGGGCTCACATGTCTTGGAAATCATCGCCAGGCCATGTGTCTTCCAAAACGAAGTCATTCAGAGCCCTTGACCGTCCTTGACGGTGGACACATCACATGTGATAGCGCCATCGTGGCTGCATCTGGGCCAAGCAGCCCATCTCATCCTCTTCAGAACCAGGCCCCCCGGCCACTGGCAGTAGCCCCACGTGGTCCCGCACCAACTGTCCTGCAAGGTCGGCCCGGAAAGGAATATACGAGATATACGAGGGTGAACAAATGGACATACCAGGACCCTCCTGTCGGGGTGTCTATGGCTTGTAGCCCCTTAGCTGTTGGGTGTCCATTAAACCAGGCCCTGGAACACCCTATCCTTTCGACATACGCAGGGTCGCCCCGTAGCCGGGCCATCGTCATGTAACCCACGCGACGGTCGTTTTCATAACCCTATTGATTCTGATGTTGAAATAGATATTGAATGATATCGGCATGGATGTTGATATACCAACAAAGGTTGAAGAACCCTATAGACTATCCCAGTTCGGTACCCCAGGTTTTCCGGGTCCTAGTTCAGCTCACTGGCTACGTCTGTAGACAAATACCAAAACAAGACTAGAACAGACCAGCACCCACGGTTTTGTCGCCCATTCCTGGGCATGAGGTCGGACCTCCCCTCTCCAACCAGGAGACCTGTTGCACCGTGAACTGAGACAGAAAGGGATGGAACCATCCCAGAGCTGCAATTATATATATATATATCGTTATATAGTGGATTGGGAGTAGATGGCACAGACCCCTAAGAGGTGGTTTATAGGAACCTCCATGTCAAGGACATCTTGAGGTCTGTGCCATCTACTCTTGACACGACTGTATATATACTTGGGTGTCTAGCAGCCTAGCAGCTTCGCTGCGGGGCCATCCGGTGGAGCGAACGCTGTTTGCGAAGCGGTTTCGACTGACACCGAGGAGTTGGAGCGGCCTTCGGCGGCGAACGAGTGCGTTGCTTCGGCGTTTTCAGGCCCGCGCGTGGCGCGGGGCGAACGAGGGTCAAAGCCAGAAGTGTCTGACTAGAAAAACCCTTCGAACGTCATCTTAAGAAAAACCCTTGTTGTAGTTTCTTAAATGTCATCTTTCTCAAACCTGAACTCTCCCCGAGAACGGGACACATCTTTGCTTCCCCAACTTTTGTCCCACCCTCCTCCTAGCAACCCACCCAAAAAGAACTAACAAAGTCGCTGAACTGCTGGTCTCCATTCCCTCGCTTCATCCCCACCTGTGCCGGGTGCCAGTGCCAGCATGGCAGCAGCCGCCGTGGCCTGGCCTTGCTCGCAGGCCTGGGTGTGTGGCGGTGTTTTTTCGGCGATGGGAAGGTTGTGGGCGCTGACTTGGGCGCTGGTCTTTGGGAACCTGAAATTGAAAAGAAATCATGTAGAACACTGGATCCATCAACCATTCCAATTGGATTAACATAACCTCTTTCATGTGGAGGTCTAATGATGCATTATTTGCTATATAATCCAGAGTCTACATTGAAGAGCTAGGATCAAGCTTTGAATCCCACTCGAAGGCAGTGAGGACGGCTTGCTGGGGTCCTAGTTGGATCCTGGAACCGGGTGAGCATGTGCCACACAGAGAAGCAGAGCGATGAAGCTTTGAATCAAGAAAGAACGCTTCGCCCGGCAGAACGGGGCAGAACCCCAGGCCAGCAGGTAGGACACCTCCCGGTCCATCCGACCCCTCTAGGCCCCTAACAACGAAAGACATGGACGAGACGAACCGGCTTGAAGTGAACCTTCATGACACTAACCGCATGTGATTGCTACATGAAGCCACTGATATGTTGGTGCAGTAGAAGACCCATGTCCTTTCACGTCCGGGCCGCAGAATCCACCCAGCCAGTCTCCAGGACTGGAGTCACTCGACTCGCCTGGTGCAAAACGAAGTCGGGCTCGGCGTCGGCCTCAAACTGGGCCGCCACCGCCTGAAGCTTCTGCCTGACTGCGGAAGAGATGTGGTCCGATGCATGCGGTATTGTTCCGTGAATTGGCTTGAAATGGGAGGAATTGGCCAATCCCAGGTTTGAAGGATTTCAGTTCCCATAGCCGAATCCCCAGGCCGGGCAGTTGCAGGAAGGAGACACCCACCCTTCAATGCTTGGTCGTTGGCTCTCGCCGTGGGAACCCAAATGGAGACCCTCTTTGACTCGCATATGACTCCAGTCGGCATGTCCTGCGCAAATTCTTGTGGAAGGTACGCCAAAAAAATGCTCGCGGGGGATATATACACATAGAAATACCTGTATGGTCCTGGTAGCTGCCCAATGGTAGTGCGCCTGCCGTCAGACCAGCCAAGGGTTGGTGAAAAATCACATCGTCCAGGCCCGGTGGCCGGGTGGCCGGGCCTCTGTTCTTCGGGCTTCAACTTCTTCATCTCCAGCATCTCACGTGGCATCAAGCTTTCCCGCGACAGCACGGACCTCGTCGACCGCAGCGGCCCGGACGGCACGGACAGCGAATTGGATCAGGGAGGTTCCAAGTTCAATGAGTGGAAGATGGACCATTTCGTGGGCTACAGCCATGCTCTGGGGTGCTCTGGTGCAAGAGACCCAGTTTCCGGAGTTGGTGGCAGTGGAAGACTTGCTCCGGGGGTGCTACCGTTGAGTTTGCTTCAGGCATCTCCTCAAGCAGAATGCCACCGAAACTGTGGGTGTCAACGACCCAACCAGGGCCTCAAGGCTCTCCAGCGTGAGCTGGCGGCGGCGCACTCCTCGAACGGGGACCCGGGGGACCCGGACGCGGACGGACCCGGAGTGGCCTCCCGGGGTGGCTGGGAGTCCGGAATTCCACGAGGTGTTGATTCTGCCAAGGCAGAAAGGTAGTAGTTCCAAATGCATTCATCCGGCGGAGGACCAAATACTCCGTTCGTACCTCACCAGTCAGTCCAAGAAAGGGTTGATCAGGTTTTGGCCCCGGCACAATCGGGGAAAGCACTGTTGGCCACTGGTCTGTTCGCTGCACATACAGCTATTCACTATTTTGGACACGGCATCCCGTATCTTCTGAGGAGACCCACGAGCACGAAACCGCGCGAAATTGAAGCCACGATACCCTCAAACGATCACTGCGAAACATCTCCCTAGCACGGTGGGGTTCATCTTCAGGAAATCTTCCAGAGACCTTCCCCACCCCTGAACTGCTCCTTTTGGGACTCCCCCGGCGCTTCTGCAGCTTCTGCGGCTGCCTGGGCCAGGACCTCCTCCTGTTCCGCAGCCAAGCACTGCTCCTCCTCTTCAGCCAGCCGGCGCTTGGCTTCGTCCTGCGCGCGCTGCTCCTCCACTTTGGCCTTTTGAATCCATTCATCCAGTTTTTGACGACTCGCCTCCCAGGCCACCATCTCCTGGCAGCGAATCTTTAGGGAGAACAGCCCAGCAGTCCGTGAGCTGTGTGTGTGTGTAACCCTTGGAATCATAGGGATCCTTTCGGATTGTTTT